GACAAGCTCATCATTCCTCTCAAACAGAACCACATCTATCACTTCAAGAGGACTGCTACCACCACCCTGACCAACAGGGTGTCAGGTTGTATCCTGACTCTGTCTGTTTAAGCCAGTGTTTTCTGCCTTTATTTTAATTTTCCTATTAAATTGTAATTCTGACTTGGAATTGCCCACTGTCTGTTTTCAAACTAGTACACTCATAAAAATACAGCTTTAGGTCCAGACAAATGGTAACTATTGCTTTTTGATGCCTCAAGTGATCTTTTTCCACTTCACTGCTGCCATCTTCCTCACACAGATCACAAAACAGTGTAACTGATAAAAGCAATTATGATGTGTCGCTTAGTTAATTTTTAAACTGTGGTTTTAATACTAAAATTTAGTTAAAGTCAGGTTTAAAAGATATAAAAACAGCCAGCCTGAGGCCATGCTATTTACAAAAACTTTTTTTCTTTATAAAGAAGGTTGCACAATACATTATTAATGATAGTTACTTCAAAGCATTGCAAAATCTGTAGTCTAATGGGGTTGTTCTGGACTTCTGTTACATGCTAAGGAGAACACTGTGCTGCTGAAGAAGGCTTTGATAACCAAAGCTGCCCACCATCAAGAGATCACATGGTACTTCACAGGTGAAAAATGTGCTTTGGTTTTTGTTTTTTTTTCCCAGATGGGTTTAAAAAGGGGGAAAAAACCCCCAACCAAAAATGAACTGTAAAGAACTTGGAATAAAACTTGGAAAGAGGATAGGGAGTGCCTAATGTCATGAATAAAATCTCTCAAGAAATCCACCCCAGTTAAAATACTGTTTAGTTATGTACAGTTAATGTTCTTACCCCATTTGTAAACCTTGTACCCCTTGTTTACTCCAATGGTTATTAGTAATGTTAATTACTTACCAGTTTCTGAAGTGTTTTAAAGGTTCTTATGAGACATTCCTGTACCCTTTCCCCTTACTTCCCTGCTACTGCTGTAACAGAGCTGCTCCCATGGGGGCTAAATCCAACTAACAAAAGCAACCCATTAGAAAGGTATGCCACAGAAGGAGACAACTCCCATGGATGCTGTGCCACACTAGAACAAAGAAACTCCCAGGAAGCTGTGCAACCGAGTAATATACAAACTAAGGCATGCAGGACACCAAAACAATGAGCTAACAGAGGAATAAAAGGATGTAATAAAGAATTGGATGAATAAAAATTCGAAAGAAAAGGTTTAAATAAAGTATATGTGATTGTAAATGATGAAAATATGGAATGAGAAATCCTCCTCCAAGTCGAGGCAGGATTTCTCTTCCAAAGCAACAGATTGCAGCCAAGCACCC